TACTGACTGTGTTGCTTAAAGATCACTCCTATTGCCCATATGTGAAGAACTATGCAGCCCAGTTAAGCCTTTTTGCTACAAACCAAACAGCCAAATACTCCTGCAATCAAAGCAGCAACGTGACCTTTTTATTGTCCCTCACTGGTGACAGATGCAGACAGAGGAGAAGAAGGGGGCAGACAGTTTTCCTCGAACAGACAGAGGCTGGATTGGAAGTGGGGAAGCAGGGGAGGGGAGAGTACAGTGATCTTAGTGGGACAGCACAGGGCAACGCTATCCCAAACACAGCAGAGTGCTATAAGCCTCCGCCATAAATCTCCAAGCCTGTCGAGCCACGGCCCAGCTTGTTCAGTGCTGTTGCTGCTCCAGAGACCAGAATCCAGATGTTGTTGGAGAGAGAGACAGTAAATAAAACAATCGATCAAAACTGAAGAAAAAAAAAAGAACATTTCTTTAAAGACTTGCTCTGGTTCAACTGATTAGAAAAAGACAACTACATGTTTTAACTGATTATCAGTGAGGTTATGTGGGTCAGACAGCACCAGCCAGACATGCATCATGTTCAATACAAACTCCCTCAGTGAGTGAAATCAGTACTTTAATCCTATTTGGGAGAACAAAGATATTATAACACCATGTAGCTCAAGGTGTTTCTAATTACAAAACAAGCCTGTTCCTCTGGATTAGGTTTTATAATTTATATGCAGGTGGATTGAAGGGATAAACAGATACAGGATGCTCATTGTGTGTAAGCAGTCGCAAATTAAAATCTTATCATGCAGAACATAATGATGGTTTATTGTTCAAAACCGTTGCCTCTGGACATGAACTCCTGCTGGCCTGTGACCGAGTCCTGGAGGCCTTATTTGTATTCTGTGTCCCTGCTAAACAAAACATGACCCCTGCTGTAGTGTATTTGATGATCTATAGCATTGTTGGAAGGATTTAGCACATTAGAAAAACTAGATCCTCTCCAACCGAGATTTAACATGACCTGCCCAAATGAACATCTAGTGTCAGGTTTGATCACTTGAAGCTCACAGGAAGTGGAAAACTGCTCATCTGCACAGTTTGCTTTGGTCTAAAGTGATCTCAGACACACCAGGTTGATGAACATAAGAGCACTGTATGCCAGTTAAATACGTCACATTAGGGTCTCTGGGTACACACACAGCTACTGCCACCATTTGGAGCCGCCACCATGCACAACAGCCTGGTGCAGCTTTGGTTTTAGTTATACGGTATTCTTCTTGTGACTGAAAATCTCAGGCCAATCCAGCTGATAGATTTTTTTTTTCTTTGTTGGAGACTTTCTACCTTGTACCAAACTTTTTACAAACACAAGGAAAGCAAATTAATTCCTAAATTACTGCTAGTAAATGTCGACTTTGTGTTGCCTCAGCTGGAATAGACTGACATGGCTAAAAATGCAGCGACATTCATGCTCCAACATCAGCAGCCCTCAGATCATCAAACTCCAAAAACAGGTAACAAAAAATGAAAGAGGATGATTTTATTTTTATTGTGGTTCAGTTATTAAGCCAAGAAGAGTGATGAAAAGATGTTTTTTTAAGACAAGCTCAGTCAAAGTGTAGTGGTGACTAAAGACTGCTAGAGTAGTTTTGGTGATCAGCCATTTAAATCTTCTGTGCTGATTTTATCCAGCATTACGTTTATGCTCAGATGAAGAAATGGAAGCTGGACATCCGACTCTCATCAGCACTAAGCCAAAGAGGCCCGCCGAGCTTCTACGAAGTGGAAAAAATGGAAGATGACTCCTCTTGAAATGATCGAGACCTGTTTACGCTGGTAATCTCTGAGCACGGTGTAATCAAAACATCACTAATTTCACTGCTGATTGGAAACTGTGACATCTGCGCTCTCAACACACTTCAAGGGGGGTTGCTCCAAAGGAAAAAAGGCAACTGGGAAGCATCTCTTCTTCACAACAGCCCCAGTGATGAGGGTGACTTTATCCTCCACCAGTCACATGTTGAAGTGGATCGATATCCATAGCAGTGGAATCTTTGTGCAGTAAACACCCCTGCATTACTAGCTGTCTGTCTGCCTGTTGTGTGTGTGTGTGTGTGTGTGTCTGTCTGAACATCTGGGCAGGCTCACTGGTCTCTGCTGCTCCCAATTACAAAAGGCCTTCCATCCTGTCGAGCCGCCTAGCGTCAAGCTCGCAAAACCCTCCTGATTGATTCTATGGAGCTCTCATACCAGTTCTGCTTCACTACGACTGTCCTGGATGGGGCGCATGATGAGAGTAGCTGGCTGAAGGGACACAGTGAAGAGAAAGAATGTAAAAAGAAGTTGGATCAAAAACACCTAATTCTGCTGTGAACCTTAAGACGCGGCGTGTGTGTGTTTGTGTGTGTGTGTGTGTGTGTGTGTGTGTGTTAAAAGTATCTTAACACATCCAACCTCCACCAAACTCCAACCCAGCCACTGACAGGGCGTGAGCTTGTTTTCCATCCTGCCAGCGTGTATCAGCTCTTCTGTTATTTAAGAATAACTATTTACGCACAGAGGTGACCATCAGACAGGTCCAGGCCACAGACACACACCACCTCCCCCCTTCCTACACACACACACTCAGGCTAAATAATCCCTCCACCTATTTACACAGGAGAGATGAGGCCACAGCCTCACCTTCAGGGTACTACTTAATTCTTCAAGTCACTCATTGAGTAATCACAGCACTCTGCTACCTGCCTGCCTGCTGCCTAATTATAGAGAATGTGTGTGTAAGACTCATTATTTAGCAATGCAGGCCTCACAGGTAGACAATTACACAGAGTGATACTGCCCATTATTACTATTTTTTGGACAGATCTGAATGCAAAGAGCCGGGGTCAGTGCTGTCATGCAGTGTGCCTCCATCAGACAGGATGACGTGTGTTTGAGGCATGAAGTGCACACCTTGAACTACAGATGGACATTAATATAGTTTGTTCACATTCAAACTGTTAATGTAAAGTGAAAGGTGCAACAAGTGGTTTTATCTCATTATCATTAATGACTTTCCTCACGATATCAGATAATTAATCTGGATTTTGAATATATTTGCTATGAAATCGAGCAAAAGTTGATGTCAGATGTGAGTTTAAGCGCCTCGGAGGACGAGCAAGTGTCCAGACTGCTTGGGTTTTCTGCACAGATTCCGGTCTGAGCATTGCATCGTCTCACCTGTATGTGATGGACAAACAGTGAGACACATATATGTACCCATTTTCATAGAAGAACCTGATGGGGTGGGGCTGATGTGTGTCTCCGTGAGGCATCATGGGAAAGAGGTCTGTCCACTCCTGGAGGGAGCCCCGCGGCTATTCTGTAATCCCTCCAGGATCCTTCTCTCGGAGCCGGGCTTTGTTCAGTGCGCAGTTCTTGGCCATGTTTAAAAACGCGTAATGGTAGAACTTCACACTTTCTCTCATGTCTCGGGCCAAAAATGACTTTGTACATAAAGTTTGTGTCGCTGGAAATATTCTTTGCCACTTGGCTGTGGACGTTTAACCTCCTGCCCGAACGTGTGTTTGTCTCAGTGATCACGTTTGCAACGAGAGTCTCGATATAAACACATTAAATAAATTATTTGAATATTTGAATTGATGTTTTGATTTTCACTTGCAAGATTTTAATAAAAGCTTTAATTAGCAATCGTCACTCCGCAGATTAGAGTCTAATCTACTTTAATCTCGGTCTCGGCTACTTGTGGTCTACTATTTTACTTTGTCTTTTTAGCCCTTTTGTCCATTAATACAACAGTGCTGCGATGCTTAAGACCTGATCCGAACCACCAATTTATTCGCCTTAGCTAAAGGATTTACGAGCGTTTAGTTGTCATCGTTGTCTTTGTGTTTGGTCCTTTTACTCTTTATTTTCTTGTCCGCCGCTGCAGATCACACTCACAAAGGCCTGGTTGTTTCCATCTGGGCATCTCTCTCTCTCTCTTTAAAATAAATGTGCTTGGGACTTATTGGGAAAAAGACTATTATTAAAAAGTATCATTTATACATTTTAAGACACAGCAAATAAAGAATTGGTACAATTAAAATGTTTTGATTAGCAGAAAAACGGCGCCCAAATCTGCATGTAAATGCTACGACATGAACGACTAATTGTTCAAATAATAATCCTTTAACAAGAACTTTAAAATGTAATGTTCAAGCAGCTCACTGTTGCCAAATCAGTTAATATCGCGAAAAACAAACATTATTAGTACCCAAACAATCTGTTAAAAACTACTTGTTGTAAATTAGGTTAGGCCATTTATAGATATGAATAATAAGTACAATAATGTGACTTTTCACATTTGAATCGTTGTCTGAGTTTTTAGGGTGAAAACGAAAATATCAGAGGTGTTTTATTGCCCTGCATGAGAGGACAGCACACGACCTGGGTGCGTTCACAGGAAAGCTGGATTTCACACAGAAGATGGGCTCCATTAATGCGCATTATAAAAACTTTTAAGACAACGTCTCTGTGTCTGCCGTAGCCTACAAATATCAGGAAAATCTGAACTTGCACCAGATGGATCGTTTTTAGAGCCATAACGTGAAATAACAGTACAATTATTGTTGTTAGCATTAGTTAGACTTTGGACTGGTTTTGTACTGTTCGTTATTTTTTATTTCCATGCTTGCTCACAGACTTTCTGAGAAATGCAGAGGAAAATAAACCTTAAGATGAAGATGTTTAAGGATAACTGAGGACAGGTTTGGGACGAGGAAGATAAGGTTGGGATGAAGATGATGTCAGGTGAAGAATACGATGAGGATTACAAGCGACCGAGACGAAGAAGCATTGGAATGAAGTGGAGACGAAAGGTGCAGGAGGAAGAAGAGGATGACAAAGGGGAAGATGAGAGGTATGAGGGAGGAGGGTGTTGCGATGTAATGACGTCACCACGAGGCGTGCTGCAGAACTCTGTCGAAGAAAACGAAGGCAGCGCTGCAGAGACGCAACCACAGCACTGAATGCCGCGGACCCTGCGATTAAGCGCAGCCGACGCATAAAGTGGATTTACTGAACATTTGCATGGGGAAAAATTCTTTTTTCTGTCGTCTGCCTCTGCTGGGAACCATCTGGTGAGTAAAAACACACCTCGTCTGTTAAGTCAGTGGATCTTAGCTGTGGGAATCGGTCAGGCGGTCGGCTGTCATATCGCTAGTGGCTCTTTTACGCTTCAGATGTTACAAATATGAGTCGGATATGCGCCTTAAGTATGACGGAGAAATTAAATATTGACAAGTGCTCCATCCATGAAGTGGTGCATACTATCGGCTAGTTGGGGTAGATTGTGTAATGACCGTGGAGAGGCCTGGGTGTGAGTGGATGAAGCTTTACGCACAGCCACAAATGCCGGTGTAGTCACGATTACAAGAATAGTCACTGCAGTGGAGAGTGTCTGAGCATCATTGTCAGCCAGATGTAGCCTGTAGTGTGCTACTGTCAGTGTGCTGTCGCCTTAAATGAACCAAATAAACATGTCAAGCACATTGTCTAAATAATGTTGGTGCATGCCCAAAATATGAAGACTTGCTGGAGGCATTCTGTGAAAGACTGTTTGCTTAGTTGTTGCTGCAGAGAAATTATTATTTTGATCCGTTTAATTTTGGCTCCATTGCCTTAGAATTTTTATTTTGTAATCATTATGTATTTTCCTAATTTCTACAAACATGTGTTTCAGACAAATAAGTCCAATCATGGAGGTTCATGAGTTGTCTTATAGGATTATGGGTTGTTGATGTTAAACTATAGTTTATTCAGTGCATCATCAAAAAAAAAACTGACATAGTATAGTTGAAGGGAAGAAAAGAATGCATTTGACTTTTTTGTATTTGACATGCAGGAAATTTTCTCCTGATTCAGCTTTGTCCTGTTTTTCAGGCAACTGGAATGGAACTGAATCTGTCGAAGAACGTGATTTCTTGTGGGGACCCAGGTACGACTTGTTCTCTGCTCAGTTAAACAATTAAATTGCCTTTGAGGGAATCTGAGTTGTGTACATTGTGATAATAAACCGCCACTTACAACATTAACATATTATGAAAAACAACAGTTTTGGTTTGAAGTCACAACCTGGTGATTGAGATTTTTAGGCCCTTTGGCACAATGTGTGTGTGACGTATGAATTAATGCGCATGGCTTTTACGAGATGTAAATGGAAGCGTGCGGGAATTTAATTAAAGCAGCGTTTTCATCGTGCAACTTTTATTATCATTATTATTATTATTGTGCGTTTTCCTTGTGTCTTTAAAAAAGTAAAAAAAAAACAAAAAACAAACTACAAATAGCTCTATTCAGAAAAAAATGTTATATAATCTTATAAATTAAGTTTTAGCTCACAGATAAAGTCCGAATTTAATCACAGATCAAAATAAATGGCAACGTGGGGAAGTGACAACTGTAGAAAATGTGCAAACAAGGCGGATGGTTATGAAGATAAAACTGGCTGAAGAACTGAGGAGAAATTTAAGGCAACTGCTCAGATCCGAGTGTTAAATAGAAAAAAAATAGTGTTTGCGTGCGCCAGATACAGGCATTGACACATTAAGAACTAATTCCACCTTAACTCAAGTTACAACCTTTTAATCTTTCTATAAAACCACCGTGACTGTGATTTAATGTCGTCTGAACCAGTGTTGATTGATCGTTTAGCATTGTTTTTGTGTCGTGTTTTTAATTTGTATTATGTGCGTCTTAGCATTTTAGGCTTTATGGTTAATGTAGTTTTGTTTTGATGGCTGTCTAACATCTGGCCTAGAGCAGCGGCTGAAAATGAGCCTCCTCGCTAACACTGGCACATTTACAGTGATGTTGATTAATGTGTAATGTCCCTGAAATAACACATAGTAAAATAAAATAAAATAAAATAAAATAAATGGCTGCTGGGCTGAGTAAACACACAGCAGGCTCGTGTTCTGAGCTGGCCTAAGTTCAGCCATTCAACCAGGCCAGCTATTTAAATTAAATCCTAAAAGAAATAAGGGAGGCTGTTTAATTCCCACCTGTAGCTGCTGTTTCTTGGTCACGAGGTTCCAGGTCAAACAGGCCTTGGAACAAGCAGGGAAACCTTCACCACAGCAATAATCAGCCGTGTCCTTCTCCAGTTACGCGCCGAGTCCAGTTACATCTCCCCTGCTCTGATTCTACTCGCCAGCTTTCATTTTCTTTAGGCTTTGGTTTTTGGCCCCGCTTTACTTTAGTTGCGTTAAGAAAAGTGTGTTTTTGTGTAATTAACGGCGTCATCGAGTTTATTTTCACTTCTTGGGGGAAAATGATGAGTGTTTGCATTGTCACTGGCCTTTAACCTGTCGTGCCGGATGGAAAGGCTTTTTAACTCATCCATCACGCTAAAGTGCCCTCCAGAGCAGAGGAGGAGCGGGACGCAGGCTGAGGAGGCTGGGTATTTAGATTACTCCCATCTATCAGTGTGTAATATCTGCTGCACAGTCACACGAACTCCGCATGGAAAATCTCCATATGCTGTAAATCCTATAATATTCCTACGGGGACTCAAGTGCCGGTGGGTTACTGTGACCTTACTGTTACTGCTGCTCCGTTTGTATTGCTAGAATATTAATTACAAGGATTTTTGAACACTACGATTTCTTTGTAAATAGGCAATGGGATTTTCCTAAGCATGCAGCTGTACTTAACAATTATAAGATCCTTCTTTAATTAAGGGCATAACTGCACTACTGAGTGCACGCACTCCACGCATCGTCCATTCAACCTTTACAACCTGCACAGTAAATAACACCTGCTGATGCTGACTCTATGGGATGACCAGATCCTCCACGTCACTTAATACAACATGCATCAGGACTGCTCTTCCGCTTACTACCATGTTTGGGTCAGTTTGCTCCTAAAAGCTTTCTGCGTACTTGACTGCAGCTTAGAAAGTGAACACAAGCCTCCTGCCCAAGGACACTTCGGTAGGCCTGTGGCTCCACACAGCAGGTCACCATGACGCATATTGGAGCTGGAATCTGTTTGAAAAATGACATTTCGTGGAATTTTACATCCAATTTCGACATGTTCATCAAATAATAATCAATGTTTTCATCAAATTATTCATATAGAAATGTAGCACAGGCTCCTGTATGAACTCCCGACTCTGTGCAGAGAGAGGATGAACAAATACACATGGGAAAAGGCAAGTGATTGTTGAGAGCTTGCACAATTGCCTTTTGAGAGGGCCTTAGGGGGAGTTTTCCAGTCGGACTGGGATCTCATGTCTGAAGTCACAGTCACACAAAGGCCGAAAACGCTCGAGACTGGCGCCGCTGACAGTCCGAGTCTCCGGTGGTGATGCCTGAGCCCCGCGTAGGCTACAGGCCAAGCCACAAGAACACAGTTGGTCAGATGGTCTCACGTTGCAGGAGAAACTAAAAACGAGTCGGCTGTAATCAGCCTAGAAAAATACATCTGTAAGCTGGCGTTAGTCCGACGCAGATACGTTTAACGGGGTCTTTTCGTAACTGACAACTTAGTCACTCAGTCAAGAAATTAACTGATGCAGTCGTGTTTCATTCTGAACAAGCAGAAAAACACGGGTTTAATCAGAACTCTCTTCTGTCTCCAGTGAATAAGAAACACGAGGTAACAGAGAGCTTAGCGCGCACACGCACAGGTCACATATGCGAATATAGGCCCAGTGAACTGATAAGAATGGTTGCTCTTATTGGTCTGAGGTCAAATTCATTTCCATCTCCAGTTTTCCAAAATGCACCAGATTAACCCTTAAAGTATTACAATAAGGACTCGCCTGGCGTCACCCTGACGTCAAACTCATTGACATTCGGAAGTGTAACTTCGTATTTCGTGAAAAGCAGGCGCAGCTGCGTTTCCCAATGTTTGTGGAAAACGTCTAATTTCTACTGCAGCTGTTGCGTTACTGCGAATTTTACTACATGTCCTATGTGGCATCTTCAACTCCAGTGCAACAAGACAACATCTGGATGAGGCTCCAGTTCTGGACACAGGCATATGAGAGTTAGTTCGCTTCAGCAGCGCAGTGAGGCACCGGATGTTGATTCCAGACCGAGGTGACCATTCTCCAATACTTCCGCTCTCTGCAGCGATATAAACCGTTATTCCATCTATTCAGTGATGTCCGAGTGGCTGTAACAGTGGTTGCCACCGCCGTCTCCTCTTTATGCGTCCGCGCACACAAAACTGACTCACTGCAGATGTGTCAACATCAGCAGACACATTTAGGTGATCTCTAACCAGATCATATTAACGGACCGTGGGATTTGAGCTTAAAGGCCGGGATCCAGTGGTGCAGTGAGAGCGGGGCGTTAGAACAGAGTGCATGTTACCAAAGTTTGATTTTAAACCGGTGGCTGTTTGGGGAAAGCGCAGCGCTTACGTTATTATTGGCGGATTTATTTTGTAGAAAGACGCCTGGTGTTGGTTGGTTGTGCTACGGAAAACAGTCCAGCTAATGAGACAGATGTGTTTGGCTTTAATTAGACCTGATTGTTCACTTGTCAAAGTGAGCCATTGATCTGTTTAAACGACACTCGTGTACAGGTTTACCGCGCGTCATTCATGCACACAATAAATCCTAATATTATGCACCTTTCACAGGGGAAACAGGGCAGGCCCGTGCTAGATGGCACATGTTTATTCAGCTCACTACATATCCGAGACATAGATTGTGTGCTGCTGTGTGTTTAAGCGCACCCAGCTGCCCTGAGCCGGACACGTTTCATACCTACACGAATAAAAGGCCCATTTTACTCCCAAAGAGCGACGCGTTGCAATGCGCGCTCCCGACATCTAAAAAAGCAAGTAGCTAAACGCTGCAGCATTAAGCAGCGAGGTTGGTCTATTTGTTACAAACAGTCTATTTGGTTCAAACGATCACTTCATTTGTTCACTCCACCTACACGTGACTGATGACATTTGCAAAAACACACACACAAAAACCTAAAGTTAATTAACCTAATGGAACTGTTTCGATGTTCAGCCTGAAGACAGGCTAAGTATCTTGTCTGGGTAGGTTTTTTTGTGTGTGTGTGTTTTTTTTTTTTTTTACACAGCGGGCAGGCTTAGTGGGTGGGGCTCCCTCATTTTGTGCAGGCTCAACGTAGCAGATGGGTGGGTCTGGTGTAGGTCGGAGAGCCGGAGCTTGCTTTCTGTCACAGCGGGCAGAAGATTCTTTGCAGCGGAGAGACGGAGAGCGCACTGGGCAGTCACTGCGGCGCAATAGGGAAAGGGGGCTGTGTAATTCGGTTTCATCCAAGGTTTATTTTCTCGGAAGAACAAAACTCGTGGAAATTCTTCCTGCATGGTTCATCCTCTCATGTCGTGGTGTACGTCTGGCAGCGGGTGGAGTTTTTGTAGCGTAGCTGTTGAGGAAAGCTTTGTGCATCCTAAGATTCACCCCGTTTCCTCTTTGTACGCATCCTTCTCTTCAAGGTGGGATGAATTTGGACAGAATCGCAGAGGCAGTGAGAGCACCGCCGCCCCGCGACGTGGCCCCCGCGTTTCATTTACCGAGAACTTCAAACAGCAGTCGAGAAACGTTAGAGAACTCAAGCAGCGAGTCTTCAGACACAGAGTTGGCAGGTACACAACCCGAGTGCTTTCAGCAATTCGATTCCTTCTTCTGAGTGCATAACAGCTTATTTTACGCCTGTAAAACACGCTTACGGCGGGTTTTCACACATACATGAAAGTATTTTACCGCAAAGATGATTAATTTCCGTGTACATGCACACAGATGAAATACATCTGCAACCATTTGCAACAAAGAGCTTGGTTTCCCTCTCCTATAATGCGGCTAAATACAACAAAATCATGAAAATAGTCCAGTGCTGGTGCAGTTCCACCCTATTATCTGTTTATTGCGCTGGCTGAACCAAACACTTGGCAAGATCCCGAGGTCTGTCAGGGAAAAATGTGCACAACAGCCTGGCCTGCTGTCAGTAAATGCATTAAAACAAACTATAAATATTGGGGCCATCAACCAACCTAAACTGACAGCCAGACGGTCTCTATTAACAATTCTCGGAGGGGCTTTTTGTTCCTGAACTTTGAGTCCACATGAAGAAGAAATAGCAAATAATGGATGAATATCTTGTATTCATAATGTCCTTAGTTAAAATGTTTGTGTTAACTTAAAAAAGATAGTGTGGGTTCAACTTTAATTTGCCTTTTATTCTTGGCAAATATTCAAGTGAATATTCCCTTTTTGTGGTTAACCTTTGCACGTGTTGCCCCTTCAGTTTAATGATGCAATCTTGTTAGGACACGAATAAAAGAGAGTCGGGAGATAAGAGTCGTAAAGACACTGAGGCAGATACAAGTGAACTGTCTGACACGTTTGTATATATGTGGCTTTAATCTGTCACTTCTCTTCTCGGGCGTTTTTGAATTAACAGCCTTATAAATTATTTATTCATAGCTCTGGCTTTGCTTGCTTCATGCTGACGGACCTTTACGTTGCTGCACATATTTCCAGTCTGAATTGTTACTGTCACGGTGCAAATAATCAATACTTGCATGTGCATGCTAAAAGTGCCTTCTTTACATGCTATTCAAAGAACTCTAGCATATGGTAATTTCAATATAATCCGCAGAAAAGGAGAGGAGCGCTGAACACAGGAGCGATGACGGGAACGCGGACGACCCGAAGAAGAAGAAGCAGCGGCGGCAGCGGACTCACTTCACCAGCCAGCAGCGGCCGG